AGACAGGCCGAAATCTGCGACCTTGACGCGAAAATCGTTGTCCAGTAAGATGTTATTAGTCTTGACGTCGCGGTGGATGATGGTGGATCGGTGGAGGTAGGAGAGCGCGTCTGCGGTTTCTATGGCGATGTTTAGCCGGATCGGCCAGGAGAGCAGACCAGAGTTGGACCGCTTGCCGTTAAATGATCAGCCACTGTGCCGTTAGGGATGTACTCATAGACCAAGAGGAGCTCGCGGCTTCGCTTCGATGTGCAGCCGTAGAGCGTGACGAGGTTGTCGTGGCGTAACTTAGTCAGGATCTCCACTTCGTTCATGAATTGCTCAACCCGCTTGAAGTTGTTCTCGTACAGGCGCTTAACGGCCACCACACGGCCGTCTTGCAGCTTCCCTGATCAAACAAGAAAGAGATTCAGGGAAAACCATAACCATAAATTACATTTATCGTTACCCAACTGTTCAGGGATTCTCGATTTGATTCTCTAAACGTTAAATTTTGCAAAAAGTACTAGAACTTACAAATTAAATCAATATTATCACAAAAACAAACCTAATCAAAGTTAACATATATCCATAAACACACACACACACACACACAAGTTCAAAGTCAATTATTCATAGGACGTAAGAAATGACATGTGACATTCCAAGATAAACAAGAAAAGAACTACTTTATTCCAACGAAGCTTCGTTATAAAACCATAATTAAAAAACATCATCTGATTCTTTCCCTTATTTTTGGCAGTGATTTATCATATCTGAGTATTTTGTCGGAAAAATTGGTAGTTAGAAAATAAATTGAGAATCTCCAAATAGTGGAACGACTACCAATGAAAATTACCGAAAGAAGAGTGGAATACCGTAGTAAACAGTGCCGAAGCCGCCTTCACCAAGTTCCATAGACGGGTCGAAGTTGTTCGTGGCTTCTTCGAGATCGGCGTAGCTGAAGACCTGGACGCCGAAGTAGGTGCTGGCCATTCCGAACTCGGTCCTTGATGATACGTAAGACGGGGTGGTTCGGGAGTAATTAGTTGACGCAGAATTGAGGGGTCTTGTCAGCGGAGGAGATGAAATATCTTTGCTCTTTGCAGCAATGGAGGACTGGGCAGCCATATCAGCTTTTCGCATTCTCCGTTGTTTCACAGAAAAGATGACCCATCCTAGCCCAATACCGGCGACGATGGCTCCTACTATGGGAAGCCCTGGAAAATGCAGAAAAAAAATTTAGAAATTCTAAACAGAGAGAAACAGAGACTGTCTGAGAACAAAGAGGTGTATATTACATATTTTCATGCCGCTGTCAGAGCCATTCCCTGAAAAAATCACGACGAATAAAACTGTCAGTTGAAAATTCAAAAAGACTCGATCAATATAGATTTATATGATCGTGTATAGGCAATTAACACTACCCCGATTAGTGTCTTTGGGAGAGCCGTTCTTTGATTGACAAGAGTTGTTGCTTACCCTCTAGGACTACACGATGATTGCATCGGCGATCACCGCAAATGCAAATGGGTTCGCTCGAATTAAGGTCGAATCCACAAAGATCCCCGTAATAGGTGCAATTTGAACATTGGTTAGAGTAGGGATCCGCATAATTCACACTGAAACCCTTCATCAGGGTATCGGCCAGAGTCGTCTGGTTGGCCGTGAGCATCTCGGCGGCATCACCGTCAACCGGAACAGTGACAGTAACATTACACTTTGTTATGATTAGCAGTATCGGGTCAACCGGAACCGGTCCGACCAAGTAAAAGGCATTAGTGGCATTGACTCCGCTCACGATGCAGCTAAATTCATTGGCTGGCTTGTAAGTTCGAAGCGGAAAGCAGCCATAGACCAAGGTAAGGACTTGATTTTCTGACCCAGGGCTGAAAACCGGATCGAACGTGGAATTCACGAATCTGTGTGGGCAAGTGTTGCTCCAGAGGTCCGACCTTGCCAGGACTAGACTTTTCTGAGTTTGGTTTATGCGGAGGACCCGGTAGGTAACGGAGTTAACGGTGAGCTCGGCGTAACTGTTGTCACGGCAAGTAAGGCGGAATTCCGGCAGGCCGCAGTGGTCTGGGAGGTCGCCACCGGTGAATGGGTAGGAGATGTTGCGGAGGGAGCCGCAATCGAAGGTGCGGTGGCAGTTGGGGAAGAAGGAATCGTCGGAAAAAGAGAGGGCTAGGTGGCCGGAGAGGACGACGGCGACGATGAGAGTTGACAGAGGAGAGAGATGCATTTGCGTCAGAGTGAGGGAGTCATGGATGAAGACCGAAAGGGTGAGATGGCATTAGGTAATAGGGTAGTTGGGTTTATGACCGTTGAATAATTGAGGGAGGGAAGGAGACGGGTTGGGCTGGCTTAAGTTGACCAGAATAAGAAGTTCGTTAGCACTGTCGGTTACGTCACATTGATGTTCGATCGTAGCAGGGTTAATTTGTAATCGGCCTCGAGAGGCCGTGGTCCCCCGACCCATACATTTTAAGCCGCCATGGTACCCGGATGAGTCGGGTTCCCGGAGCGGTGCAGCCCATTTTGGCTCACAACTGCATAGTTTATGTTTATTTTATTATTTTGGATGTGTGTGTGCGTCGTTAAGACTATTAAAAATTAAATAACTAATAAATTATCTCAAAAAAATTATTAATAATTTCCGAATTTTTTGTTATAAATAGGGAATATTTGTAAATTAAAAATCATTATTTGCTAAAATTTTTTGAGCTAATTTTTCCATAGAAAGGAAAAATAACTCCTAAAGTAAGTTTTTATATAAAAGAATTGTGTCTAAAAGCTTCTCTTTTTTTCTTGTATAAAAAAATAAATTAAAAACTTTTTTCACAGGAAGAGTAAAACTTGAAAAATTAAAACCGGAAATCTTTTCTCCACTAGGAAATAAATTTAAGAGAATTTTTATTTTTATTTAAAATTTATTTATTTAAAGCAATTTAGCATTAATTTAAATATTTAGTAGAAAAATTGCAATAAGTTAGAAATTAACAAAAAAAGTAAATTTTCTCTACCTTTTTCACCCTATTTATTATTTAAATTAATTCATTACTAATTTAAACACGTACTATTTATCTTTTTTTTATAACAAGTATTTTATCCAAACATATAATAAAATAAGCACTTATATATATGCAGTAGATTTTTAAAAAAATTTATTATTTTGAATAAATAAAATCAAATATCAGATATGTGTGATGTCAATGACAAACATGAGTTCTATATAATTATAATTAAATAAATAGTGAATATGAAACGTCTCGTCACCTACCCAGTTCTTGAAGGGCAGATAAATAGTACCGTAATGCCCCGTTTGATTTAGGTAATAAGATAAAATAAAATAAATTTATCTTATTTTATCACACGTTTAATACGTATATCACATAACCGAAAAAAATTTATGAGATAGATATATATGAACCTGATTAGGATAGTGTTATAGAGAAAGACTCTTATCAAATTTTCTTTTTTTTTTGACTAAAATACCTCAACTATTTGTATAAAAAATATCGAATATAACCAAATTCTGAACATTTACAAAGATAAGGATGATGAATAATGCTCGTAAAAATATTTTATATAAAATATTTTTTATCTTATTATCTTTTATTTTTTTAACTAAATATTATTAAATATAAAATAAATAGTATATAATTTAAATAAAATTATCTATTTTATTATATACTATTATATCTATTACCCGGAGCCAACGCACCTTAAAAAAATTAAGTAGTGGTCAGAAATGGCTGCCGATGACCTTGTTATTTTAAAATTTCAACAACTACAGTTTTTTAACTAATAAATTTATTTATGAGTGGTGGCAGGATATGCTGAATATGATCTCCACTTGCCTGAGTGGATTGGACATCATTAAACATCCATAAAAATTGTTCATTGTAACGGGAGAATGCTTTTATGCCAAACACACCGTAAGGGTCAGAAAGGAAAAGTCAGGGTCTGGAGCCTAAATAGAAGAATCATTCAAGAGTTCTGTTAGGTTTGGACAAAGTCAATCAGAAGTTGTTGTGGTTTGGTGAACCGGAAAGCAAACCGGTCTGTGACTTGAGCAGCCAAAATTGAACACATCACCGAAAGGAAGAACGAACGAAGAAAGGAAGGAATCTGGGATTGTGAATTATTCTTTCTGGTTACGAAATAGGCCGAACTGTCAAGATTCAAGAAAGATTGCAGGCAAAGTTGGATTGATCTCAACTTTTTTTCTCCTATTAATACCACGAAGATTAAATTCTGGTCATGTATGAACACAGAAAATCCTACACAGGCTCTAATTCTGAAGAATAAATCTTCAACGGTTATTACTCTAGCGTGAAAATAGAAAATGTTGATAGGACCTCAAATCTAGGCTATGCTTTTGGTTCTGTAAAGAAATAAATTAAGGAAAAATAGACCTCAAGCTACTAGAGAAGAGCAACAAGAGTAGAGGGCCACGTACCATTTTGAATTGTGGTGCTGTTATCGCCGCAGATGATTGGGTACGTTTGATTGGAACAATAACAAGCAAAGCCACCAGAAGAGTTAGTGCCACACACCCCAGCCGAATTTTCGCACTCGCTGCAATGACTCTGGCTAGCATTCCACGTCAACCCAAATCCACCATCTATGGCTTGGCTTATGTTCATGGTAGGACTACTTTGTGCCAAACCCTCCGCTGCTGTTGTATTTACTCGAACGCTGACGGAGGTTTGACATGTGGCACTGCTAATAATATTGGTCGTAAGATAATAACTTGGGGTGGTAGTGTCATTTGTGGTGCAATTCCACTGATTGGGAATGGGCACATTTATTCCGCTGCTACATCCGTAAAAGAGATACAGTTGGCTGTACCCAGAAGAGAGGTAGTTAAAATGGGCAGTGTCCAAGGAGGTGTTATAGAGGTCTTTGGGGCAAGGGTTGTTCCAGAATTCATCTGCAACAACGACGAGATTATACGAGTCATAATCAATTGAAAGGACTCTGTGTTCTCTTGTCTCGATTGTGATGATAGCAGGATCGCCAGAGCAATTTAGGCCAAAACTGGGGTGACCGCAGATCTCCGGTCTGTCTCCTCCCCAGAAAGGATATGTTATGTTCTGAAGGTTTGCACAAGAATAGGACTTGCTGCAGGTTGTGTAATTCTCATTCTGGGCAGCCAAACAGGTTGGTCCATGGCTCAAGATTACTATGACAACGAGGAGGCAAGAGTATCGGAAGAGTTGGGGTTCCATCTCTACTAGCAAGGAGAGGAAGACGGAGGATATGAGAAATTGATGCAACTAACTATATTCATATGGCAGTGAAGATGAGTTGAATTTTAATCGTGCGCGGTCATCTTCATACAGCGGGAAATAGAAGACCTTTGACAAATGTTTGTTGATCTTTTGGTAAGTGGAAGTGTTCAAACAAATAGAAGCTTCTGCTGGGACGGAGATTATTGACCGGGTCCTACCTCAGTTATTGAATCTTATATTATAAAGCTGCCGGTTCCACTACGAAATCTGGTTTGATTTTTTAGCCCTTCATTTATTGATTTCTTGAAGCTCAAGGTCTAGCAGCCAAAGTTGGAATAGTGTGCAGATCTCTAACCTGTCGACATCCTCCGTGGAATAATTCAATTATGTTTACTATAAAACTACATGCGAAGAAAATGCTGT